GCTCTCCCCCCGCCGCTCGTCATGGGACCTGGCCCACAGCACCCCCCTGGCAGTGCATCCCCGGGGCCTGCCCCATGGCTCTCCCCCCGCCGCTCGTCATGGGGTCATCCCCACAGCACCCCCCTAGCACCGCATCCCCAGGGCCTGCCCCACAGCACTCCCCCAGCAGCCCATCCCCAGGGTCTGCCCCACGGCACTTCCCCAGTGGCTGGTCATGGGGCCAACCCAACAGCAACCCTCTAGCAGCTCATCCAGGGGGCCTGGCTCGCAGCACTCCCCAGCAGCTGGTCATAGGCTCCCCCACCCCCAGCAGCCTGTCCACAGGGCCCGTCGCGTGGCAACCCCCCCAGCCGCTCCTGTAGCCCAGACTCCTGTCTCCTCCAGCAGCCAGTGGCCGGGGCTGCAAAAGACGGTGCAAAACCCCACAGTGCAAGGAGCGTTGTAGCCCCTGCACCACGGGCCAGCCTGGGACCTGCAGCACCGAAGGGCTAGATAGAGCTAGAGGGGTGTAAAGCCTCCGGCTTCAGGGCTCAAGCCTGTGTCTAGGCATTAGGAGTTCGAATGAGACCCTCCTGGGGGCAGATTCCCCCACATCTGCCTGCTGTGGGGCTCTTGCTCCTTCCTCTGAAGCAGCTAGTGCTGCCCATGAGAGACAGGGGACTGGGATAGATGGATCCTGGGCTGGTCTAGTCTGGTGATTTCCATGTTCTTTACAGCTGGGCCTCTACTGTTTGAGGTAAAGGGGTAACTCCATTAGCTGGCAGCAGCAGTGGGCTCTTATCCTCTTTGGCAGACCAGCTACTAGGGGGGAACATTAACACACACACTGAAACAGTGAGCTACATAATACTGTCCTGTGGGGACGTTAACGCCTGGCTGCAGCTGCATGCATGAAGACTGGTAGGCTTGGTTTGTTGTATTCTGAATAGCACCATTCTAGATGTAGATCTTATTCCTGTCAACGGCTAACCCTTGTGTTTAGAAAATGTACCAACTTAATTTGCTTTGTCCTCAAGCCTGTCCTGCAGCAGTGAGTTCCGCAGGTCAGTGATAGGCTATGAAACCCACAGTGAGATGGGAGACATTAGCTGCCTTGGGGCCCACAGGGGCAGGGAGGGAAAGGGGCAGGAAAAGCAGGGGAACCCCTAGGAAAGAAGGAGGGTTCTTTGATTCATAACCTGAGTCCAGAAGCCTTCAGATCAGCTCAGTGGTTCACCACGCTGATGCCACAAGGCAGGACCCTGCGGGGAGCATGCACCCACATGGAACCCCCGTGGGTCAGATAACCACGCCGATCGTCTCTGCCATCACACGGAGCCGGCAGCGTGACCTCCGTATGCAGCCGCTTTCCCTTCGCCTATCCCTGTAACCGCCTTGTGCCGACTCTGTCCCTTGCCTTCCCCTGCTCCACAGGCCGGCTTGGTTTCCCCCGCGAACCCGGAGCAGCTGTTGATCGCACTGGAGCCGGAAGCAGCTTCCATCTATTGCAGGAAGCTCCGCCTCAATCAGCTGATTGACCTGAGCTGCAAACCTCTAGCCAATGGCCTCGCACCAGAGCTCTCCATTGACTCCAGCTTCAGGCAGGGTAAGCGACTGCTGTAGTGTGGACACCTCGTCTGGGGATCCGGGGACAGCTGTGCCGTGGGGTGGGCCACGAGCGGAATGAGCTCGCTGGCCCCAGCCCGACCCCTACAGACTGAGTCTGTGTTGTACAATTCAGCACAACTGGCCATCTCTGCTCAAGAAAGTCCCCCGGGCCGGGGGAGACTAGCAGGGTGCTCCGGCCCCGGCGGAGGGTGATGGAGGGTGGGGAACAGCCGGTGCGCCTGCAGCTCTGGGCTGCGATGTGCTAGCAGAGCAGTGGAGGGGTCCCAGGACTGGAACAGCAGGGATCTCAGCGGTTGACATTCCCACATGTGCCTTTCATTTGGGTGTATTGATGGAACAAACCCCAGCTAGTAAAAGAGCAGGTATTCCAGGGGGCTTTGGGGAGATGTCAGAGCCGCTGCCACCTCCTGGGCTGTTTCCTCTGCACTATTGCAGCAGGGCTAGAACTGAGCTTGTCCCAGGCCAGCCTGCTGGGGGCTGCTTGGCAGGGGCTGGTTTGGGACTCGGGCAGAAAACACCCCTAGGCTTTCCCAGCCTGCATCTCTCCACTTAATATAGCCCCATCAGCATCGCCAGCTGTGCCGGTCTGTTCATCTCTTCTCTCAGTCCCGGCTCCCTGCTTCTTCTACGCTAGGACCAGTTGCAGATTGCCAACACAAACCCCTTTCCCCATTCAAATCCTTGCTAAAGATACTTCTACCACCAGGGGAGATCTGAGTTCCCTCCACCCTGGGCTTTCCCAAGGCACTCCTCTTCTCTGTGCCCATCGGTCAGACTGCCAGCTCTTTCCACTGTCTCATTTTGTGGCTTGTACAATGCCAGATACATCATGAATGATCTGGAAAAAAACAGTGAGGCGGCAAAATTTGCAGATGATACAAAACAACTCAAGATAGTTACGTCCCAGGCAGACTGCGAAGAGCTACAAAAGGATCTCACAAAACTGGGTGACTGGGCAACAAAATGGCAGATGGGATTCAGTGTTGATAAATGCAAAGTAATGCACCTTGGAAAACATAATCCCAACTATACCTATAAAATGATGGATTCTAAATTAGCTGTTACCACTCAAGAAAGAGATCTTGGGGTCATTGTGGATAGTTCTCTGAAAACATCCACTCAATGTGCAGCGGCGTCAAAAAAGCGAAAAGAATGCTGGGAATCGTTAAGAAAGGGATCCTAGATAATAAAACAGAAAATATCATATTGCCTCTATGTGACAATGCGGTTCTGGCAGAACCCAACTGAGAGTGCCAACTCAGGACAAATTGCTCAAACAGGGC